GGGGCTGGATTTGGGGCAAAACAGGGAGGCTGCAGCCCACTGGTAGCAAACTTTTGGGAATACAGAGTGTTTCTGCTGCTGTCAGGGACAGAACTGAGCTAGCAGTGAGCTGGGGACATGAGTGTTGCATAAATAAGACATTAAAATACCTCTCTGGCTGTTTTTACCGTGTTTTCTCACCCAGATGGAATCAAAATGTAGTAATAGCACTCACTCTGTGCTTGCACGACTCAGTGTGGGGCCCTCTGTTTCCTGCAGCGCTGAGAGCAGCCGAGGCCGTTGTTTTCCCCGAGATCTGCCTGGAAATGGCGCAAACCCGCAGAGGGCGGTGGAGCCGAGAAAATCGCTGCCTGCAACTCCAGTGCTTGGCTGGCAGGAACCAGCGGTGTTACCGGAGTCCCACTTTGGTCTGGATGTGGCCCCACGTGTTTAAATTGTGGTGGAATACCTGCATTCCTAGGGAAAGAGAAAAACAGTGTGGGCGTAAGGCAAAGAGGAATAGAGTGGGGCTGGGGTGGGAGGGTGTTTTCCCAGCTGCAAAGGAGCAAGGAAGGGAGCACAGGCGTCACATGGAGATGCTGTTAGAAGTGGTTGAACCATCCAAACAGGAAACACTTTGGCTCTCTGGGACTTAGTTGCAGGGAGGGACCAGGCAGGTGATGGCTCAGGAGCAGCCCCAGGGCAGGAAGAACTTCGAGGGTGACCATGAGCTGTGTTGTGGTGGGGGACACCGTGGTCAAGGCTGCCCATGTGGGCTCAGGTGGAGGGAGTTTTCCTCCCTGGGAGGCTGCGGGCACGGGGAGAGCGGGCAGGAGGTGAATCATCCTGCTCCGTGCCAGCGCCTGGTGTGGGCTTGCCTGGTCCTGGGTGGTATTCGCTTTATTTTGTGCTCAGCTGTGCCCTGGAGGGCTGAGACGTTGTTTGCTGAGGGCTGAGCCCGGGCAGGGGGAAGAATGGGGAAAGCTCCAAGCAGGACCTTTTTGTTTTTCTTTTTTTGTTTTTCTTTTTTTTTTCTTTTTTTTAATATTGGGTGGTTTTTTTTGTCTGGAGGGTGTTGGAAGAGGAACAGTGCAGGGAAAAGCAGGAGAAGCCAAAGGAGGGAGGTGCTGCTGTGCTGTGCTGGGTGAAAGCAGGCACCTGGATCATGCTGGAGCCTACAAACAGAGCTGGAAATGGGGGCTGTTCATAGGTTTGGTGGGGCCAAGACAGCTGGAGAGAGGCTGAACCGAACCATCTGAACTGCCCCTTTCCTCCCTGCTTTGTTCCCTCCAGGTAGGATCTGACCCCTGACACATCACAACAGTACTGAGGTCATGTAGTTGGGATGACCAGATTTTAGGAGCAAAAGCTTCCCTGAACAAGCCACACATTCCTGAAGGTGGGAGGATAGGGAGTGGGAGGTGGGGAGCAGGTTTCTAAATCCCACTTTGCAGCTGGAACCTGCTCATTCTGATCACTGGCTTTTCACTCAGAGCCAGGCTGAGTCAACAAGAAGGCTGCATCTCCTCACTCACTCCCAGGACCATGGCTTTGTGCTTTACACTTTTCTCACTTTACACTTTTCTCTTCACAAGCATCCCTGCAGGGTTTACCCCAATCCTGTATTTTCCTAAACTCACCAACAGCTCCAGCATTCCTACTGCGCTCTGTGCTGTGAGGTTGTGTCTGCTGTGGCAGGTACACGAGGCACTGGTGGGACTGGAAAAAGGGCTGGTGATGCTCTGAAACAGGAGCTCAGCACTGTAGGCTCCAGCTGCCCACAGTGACACATCAGTTCCCAGGTGCTAACAGAGCTAGCAGGAAAAAGAGGAGGAAAAACAAAATGGAGAGGCGGCAAGAAGGGTGTGAATCCAGCTGGAACTCACTCAGGCTCTAAAATCTGCAGGATTTGTTGGCCAAATCGTCCTGTGTAAGGTAGAAGGGAGACATAGCTGCTTTTTCTTCTCAGGAAAAAATAAAAAGGGAAAAACATGGCTGGGGAGAGACTTTGACTGTGGAAGGGCTTTAAGGCAGAGCTGGGAGCCTGGCTCCTTTGCCTGGCCAGTGCATTTTGGGAGTTTCAGCAGACAATATGGTGAAAATGCCTTTTTTTTTTTTTTCTTTTCTAAATAGGCAAAAAGTGTCACATCCAAAGATTCTGGAGTTCAGAAGCTCTTTTGCAGCTGTGTTTACAGGCAGCTATTTCTGTAGAACAGAGGCAGCCATGGATGTCAATTTGCTTTTGAGATTAATTTCCTTCTATGCAAAGGGGGGTAGCTGGAGAGGGGCTGTGCCAGGAGGTGGTCATGGAATGGCACCAGCCCCCCAGAACACACAGCCCTACTTGCACCCTCCAAATAATAACAGCCAAGTCTTTACCAGCTGTGGAGGCAGAGTTGTCTTCCCAGCAGGAGAGGTGTGCTGTGAACACAGCAGCTCTCTGGGAGATCTATCAGTACCTGGGCAAATCCCATATCATGAGAGAAGTTCCTCCTTTGACTCCCATTTTTGGGGAGTGGAGGAGTAGTTGGCCTTTCTTTTTGGTCATTCTTATTTCTCTCTTCAGTTTTCCTGGTGGGGAATTAGTTAATATGGCAGGCTGAAGGCGGCTGAGGAAAACTGACTCAGAAAAAGCAGCCACAGCCCCCTCTAAATATTTTTTCCTGGGTTCAGATAGAAATATTCCCCCGTCAGGACTTCTTCACAGGTTGGCAGGGCTTGGTTGGGCTGTTTCCCCTCAAAAGGAAATCTCAGTGTTTCCTATTTCCCCCCATTTCCCACAGACAGTGTGAGGTATGTATGAGCTCACCTCCTCCCAGGTATTTCCCTTACCCCGATGCTCAACAAAGAGCACAGAAAGGGACACTAAGCAGCACATGATCACCTTCCTCTGCCCCACTAATGCCTGCGGGCACTGCAGGAGGTGGCTGTACCCTCAGGGTAGCATGTAAGTGGTGAAGTATTCCAGTTTGCAGGGCTGCTTTTAAGGGAGACCTGATGGCAGCTCCCAGCTTTCCTTCTGAGAACACCTCAGAGGAGGGAGAGCTTCTGGACACACTGCAGTCCTTGGGTATCCTAACCCTGCCCTGCACAACCCCATTGTTAGAAAACTCAGAGTCTGACTCCAAAGGGAAAACATACTCAAGACCCTTCTACTATATTTTGCCCACTGTGCTGAGTTCTGCTCCAGTGAACAACAACCAGTCCAAATTCTCCACCATCATATTTACATTTAAAATTCAAAATTACTTCTCTGCATATAGACAGGACCACTGCACAGACAGGGACAGATGTGACTTCTCAGGTAGGTTTTCTTCAGTGCACAAGACCTCTTCTCTCAGCTTGTGGCTGTACCAGCTACTCTCCAGGTGCCTGAATACACCACCATGAGAGCTGTTCACTTCAGCAAAAGAAGCTTTTCACGTTTATTTGTGATTGAATTAAAGCATTATCTTCCTCCTAAACTTGCAGCTGCTCAGAATTTGCAGCAGACGGGACACAAATCAGCTCTGGGAAGGTTTCCTAGAGCAGCACCCCAGGCTGGTGGCTGGGGCAGCACTACCTGTGGGCACAGCGAAGGCGCTGGGAGCGTCTCCCTGGGACGTGCGGCGCGGCAGGAACGTTGGAAGGTGCCAGCGGGTTGGAATGAGCCCTCGGCAGCCAGCGGCGAGGCAGGACAAGTCAGGACAATCTGGCAGCTGCCGGAATCTGTTCTGAGGTGCTTTTTATCTCCCTGAGATGGTACAAACCACCTTGGCCGCTGCCAAGCTCAGGTGGTGGCCGTGAGGAGGGTTCTGCAGGTCGGGTGTGAAATGGTGAACGTGGTGGTGATGTGGCTACCCCGGGGGGATGATGGCTTGGTGTGACATGGGGTTAGGTGGACACATCTCCCCACAAGGGCAAGTCTGGAGGTGAGCTGCCCTGGGGGTCCCCGGGGTCCCTCACAGCCACTCCGTCACCCTCAGGACTGTCTGCCCTCATGAGGGGCTGCAGTGTGGCCCCTGTCAGCTGCCCCAGGAGCTGGGAATTGGAGCTGGGAGCTGTAGGGCTGGTAATGGAGCTGGGGGTGAGGTTTTTAGGTAAGTCCCTTCCTCGGGCCCGTGGTAGGGTGGATACTGCGGGACCCTCCACAGCCAAGGGGGTCCCAGGGCTCCCAAGCTTTCATGCTGCATTCAGGGCTGCCGCCCCTCACGATGCGGTGCTGCCCCTTCCAGCCCCTCCAGAAGCCAGGAATTGAGTTTTCGGGCAGGGGAAGCCCTCAGTGAGGTGGCTGCTGAGGGACCAAGGAGCCCATGACAGCCTAGGGCCAACCCTTCACCCTCAAGCGCTGCCGAAGTCTCTCCGAGCCGAGCCGAGTGTGCCCGAAGCTGTGCCCGCGCCGATACCGAGGGATTCCGAAGATCGCCGAGAAGCTCCGAAGAGCTACGAGCGGGGCGGGATTCCCTCTTCCGAGCCCCTCCGAAGCTTCCCGAACTGTCTCATGCGCTCGTTTTCCGGAAATAGTCGAAGTTTACCGAGCGCGGGGGTCACGGGAGGTGCTGGGCCGAGAGGGGAGGGAGGGGGTGCAGGGCAAGGCGCATGCGCGCGCGAAAGCCTGTCCGGAAGAACCCGAGGTTTGCCGAGCGGCGCTGGCTGACGAGCGATTCCGAAAAGAGCCGAAGGTTGCCGATCAGCCGTGGGCCGAGCGACTCCGGAAAGAGCCGAAGGTCGCCGATCGGCTCTGGGCCGAGCGGCTCCGGAGCGGCCCGAAGGCGCCCGAGCGCCCGCCCGGCCGGACAGCTGGAGGCGGCCGCAGCGCCATGTTTGATGCTCCGCTACTCCAGTGAGGAAAATCCGCCGGCATCGCCCCCGAGCCGCCGCCGCGAACGGCTCCGCTGCCCCCGGCGAGGGCGACCGCGACCCCCCGCCGCCGCCGGCTCATGAGCAGCGCGGCCTGAGCCGCCCCCCCTTCCCTCCCTCCCTCCCCTCCCTCCCTCCGCTGCTTTTTGCAGTCCCAGCAGCGGCGGGGACCGGCCCCGGGAGCGGGGCGGCGGCGGGGCCGCCTCCCCCCCCGGCTCCCCCTCACCCGGCGCCGGCGCCTCACCCCAACATCAGGGCCTTGCCGCCACAGCCGCCCCAGCAGTATCCTTTGCCCCGGGGGCTCGGGGGTGACACCCCCTCCCCACAGCGAGCGGAGCCGGGGGGGTGAGGGCTGCGGGGAGCCCCCAGGCCTGCGGGCGGTGGGGGGTGAGGGTTGGGGGTCGCGGGGCCCCCCAGAGCCGGGGGGATGTGTGAGGTGGGGGTTGTTGAGGGGCTCCCGGCTCTTTTTTGTGTGTCTGTTTGTGTGTGGGGCCCCCTGCAAAGGGGGGCTGCACCTGCCGGGATGGTGCCGGGCAAGGGGGGCCGTCCGCCTCCCGGTGGGCTGGTTCCGAGGGTCGGCCCTTTCCAGGGGGTCCCTTTTCCCCCTCCCCCAAAGCAGCGGTGACCCCAAGGGTAAACTTTTAATTATAAATCGTTCTTCAGTTTTGCTTCTGGTCCTGCCCAGGTAAGTGCTTTGGTTTTGTTGTTTTTCCAGGCGAATTTAAACCCAGTTTGTTTGGGTTTTTTTTATTTACAGCTGGGGACGATTTTCATGTGATTTATTTTATTTTATTTAATTTTTCTTACTTGGCTGGTGGGAATAAATCTCAGGTGGAACGTTTCACTGAGCAGCTTTCCCTGCCAGGCCACGCGTGGTGGGAAGGAGGAGCAGGCTCCCACTCCCCAAAATCCCCCCGCCAAAGCTACAAAGAGAGGCCGGCGGGGGCTGCCAGTGTTTTTTAAAGGTCTTGGGTTCTGTGCTGCGAGTAGGCCCCGAGTCAGGAGGGAAATACTGCAGGGATCAGCAGGAAAGTGCTGCCGGCCTGAGGTTTTGTTTGCAGCGTCCGACAGCATCCCGTGGCAAACCGGCTGTTCTCTCCCCCGCCTCCCTGGAGTTTTGGGGGGAGTGTGACGGGAAGAACACACTTTGTGAAATATCTCCGTGCTGTGTTACCCGGGAGTGGTGCAGGGACGGTCGGGAGTGTGTTTTGCTATTCATGTTTGGCGGTGTGTTGGGTTTTAAGGTGGAAGTGCAGGGTGGTTTTGGTGCCGAGGGCTGTGCTCTCAGAACTGTGTTCCCTGTGTATGAGCATTTTCCTGCTCTCACTTTCATTTTGGAGGTGGGAAAACCCAGTCCTTTTATAATCAGTTTAGGTCCATTGTTTTCTTGAACTTCCGGCAAGAATCACCCCTGCCATGACAACAAATTCATTGCTTAAATCATGAGACTGTTGACGTTACAGATTTGTTTGGGTCAAGTGAAAACCCCTGGACGTTCTCTTTGCTGGCTGATTTTGGCCTGATTTGTGGTACTCCGTAATTCCAACCGGTGCTTTAGGAATAAAAAAAAGTGGGAAGGTGCTGTCAGTAGAGTCAGCGGGGTGGTGGTAAGTAAAACTGTTGCTCAGGGAGAATTTCCTTCGGTTCTGAGGGATGTGCCAAGAGTTGGAGTGGGAATGCCGGCCAGCGTGCACGGGCTGATCTTCCAGCAAGGTGCTGCTTTGGCTGGGAAGGGGCTTTTTTACCAGGAAGGTGGCACTTGGGTGCCTTGGCAGGTGAGGGCTGCGGTTTGCCTGGCTCTGGGGCCGTGCTGGGCTGCCCGGAGCACTTTGTTCCCGGGTGTCGCTGGGGGGGAGCCTGCTGGCTCGGACGGGGGGCTGTGCTGGTGCGGCTGTTGCTTTTGGTGAGTTTTGCATGGGGCACTCGAGGGATGAAGTTTGGGTTTACTCCGAGCACAGCCTAAAAACAAAAAGGGCTTGGAAAGCCTGGAGAAGCCCCTAGAGGAGCTGGGGCTGCTGTGGCAGTGTGTCCTGTCCTGGGGACCCAACTGGACACTGTGAGTGGGAGGGAGAAGTGTTAGATGGGTATGGCAAGTTGGTGTTATGAAAGTGGGGAGGTTAAGATGACACAGTTTCATTTTTATTTCTAGACATGCCTGTTTTGAAAACATTGTGTTTGACCGATATCTCGTTAACTCCTGAACTACTGATCTGTGCTTGCAATATATTCAAACACTTTATTTTTGATGCTTATTGGGGTGTCCTGGTGAAGCTTATTCAGGTGCCCTGGCTGGTTTTATCCTCCACCAAAACCTGTGTTTGATTATAAACAAAAGCTGTTACCTCTCAGTGCTGCTCTGAGTGAGGCTGTGAGGCTCGGGGAGGAGAGTTCATCCCTGATTTACTGGAGTGCAGGGGGTCATCTGAGTTCAGCCTTATTTTTAGCCCTCTTTGGTTTCTTTTTTTTCTCTGTGTTTTGATACAACTGTTGAGCCACTGTTACCTCACAGCAGATAAAAGAGTTGCAGGTTTCTCTGACTTGGGCTTTTTAAACCAAAGCAGTTTCTTACTGGTGAACTTTGTAACTTTGGAAATACTTTTGGTTTCAGACTTAATTGTATCATGAAATTAAACAATATCTGTGTAATTGGAAAAAAATAAAAATTGTGTGAGAGAGAAGTGTTCCGCATGTGCATGTAACAAGGCATGAGGGAGGGAAAATTAAAATACAGGAGAAAGAAAGAATTTTTTAGAAAATAATATTTTTTTGAGAGAAAAGAAGCTGGAAAGTGATGGACACGAAGAGCAAAAATGTCTGGCTGTAAGATTCCTTCTGTTTCCTGCTAAATAGGAAGTTATTGGAGCTGCTGTAAGACAAGACAGACTTGTGAGGAATTTCCTTAACACAGTGGCTTCAAGAAGTTAAATTTCCTGTGTAAAAGTAAGTTGGGATAATTTGTGGCTCTGGTGGTGGTGAGTACTCAGCCAAACCTGATTTCAGGCAGAAATTGTGCTCAAAAGTTGTCAGTATGGATAAATCCTTCAGTTGGAGTCTGACCCTTATTTGGGTGGAAAGGACAAGCGAGGGTGAAATGACACACAGAAGGGATATTATAAAAAGTAAATCCCAGTCTGCCCTCCTTGGCTTTGACTGCCAGACTGCCTCTGCAGGAGAAGTTCCAGTGCAGTCTGGAGTGAGACTTCTTCCATAAAAAGGTGCAGTAACAAAGGTGCTGCAAGGGCACTGTGGGCCTTGTGGTTTTACCTCAGTGGTACTTCTGACACGTGTCACACTCCACCCTGCTCTTTACTCTCCCACTTAGGAATGAAGTATTTTTTTGTGTGTCTTACATTAAGCTGTTCTTTCGAAAGTCACTGTGCTGGGAATAAATTTTGTGGATCAGTATAATCAGGTCACCAGTTTCTTCCCAGCCCAGATGTGGGCAAACATTGGCCTGTAAGGGACAGCCAGGTTGACAGATGGCACCTGGGGTGACATCCCCCAGCTGCTGCTTAACGTGACACTGTTAGTCAGAGCCACATCAGAGCTGTCTGTGGCTCAGGGCTGGTGTCAGTAGGGTTTTGTTTTCTTTTCCCAACTTCCTCACCTTTGAAGGGCGTTCCTGTTGTTGATGTGCAGGTAGCAGTAAGCTTGACTTTAATCTGTCCCCGTGGCTGCTTCCGTATGGGATTGGGCATCTCTGAAAATTGGGTGTTCCTCAGGCTATTGCAGGTTGTGGCAGGCTCAGGGTGGGTGTCAACAGACCGTTACTAATTTTTTTTTTCTCTTCTTCCTCCTTGTTAATTCCTTTTCTGAGAAGCAGAGAGGAAGAATCAGTGTTTGAGGGACTGACCTCTGTGAATTCCATCATTGCTGTGCGAGGAAACAAAAAATTGTGTGTTTTGCTAACATTGCCTGAGTAATTTAGTTTTAGTTTTTCCTGCATTGTTCAGCTAACTGTGCTGTAGTCCCTTTCAGGAAGTGCTGTGCTGGTTCCTACTGGGTTGGGTGGCATCTTCTGGATGCAAGCAGCTTCCCCAAAGCCCGGGGGGACAGCAAGAAATACAGGATGGCATTGAGGAATGTCTGAGGCTGTGTGGGAAGTCAGGGTGAGTTCCTGGCAGTGCTTGCCCAGTGTCGGGATGCAGGCCTGCCTTGGAGATCTGGTTAAATCAAGATTCTTGAGGAGGACGGCGTGCATGGGGTTCTCTGTTGTCTCTCCATGAACCAAGAGTTGAGCTGGAGGAGAAAGTGCCCAATAATTTTGCCCAGGAGAAAACCTGCAGCGTGTACCAGAGGGTCGGGGTCTCTGGTTTGCCGTGATCCCCTCTGGAAGTTTGGAGCCAATGCCATCTTCCCTCCCTTACTTCCATTTTCAGTGGTGTTTTCCAGACTACATGAGGGGGCAGCTCTGTGCTCTCTGGAGTTTGTCTGTTGGTGAGTTTGGAGTTGAAGACGAGGCATTTGGAAGCTGCTTGGGCACAAAAGTCAGCTTGAAGAGTGTGGTGGTGGCTCTGGCGTGGAGCACTCCCTGTGCAGCTGTGACACCATCCAGGGCGCAGTTGGAAACCTCTTCCAGGTGCCAGTGGCCCAGGAAAGGGTCGGTCCCGAAAGGGAAGGAGGGTGAGAGGGGGGAAGGAGGGACCAGGCTGAGATCAGAGGTGTCCCTTGCTCCCTGTGTTCCTGAGTTGAGGAGGAATGTTCTGAGATCTTGGCTGCATGAAGGGAAGGGGGCAGAGGTGTTGCCTGGGAAGTGTTTCTGTTCAGAAGTGTGGAAGCTGTGGAGATCAAACGTCTTGGGAGGGTCGGAGCAGGAGAAGAGCTTGGAGAAGAGACTTTCCCTGCTGCTCTGTGGTGGTGGCTCCTCTGCAGGGGAGGAACGGGCACGGATTGGGGAGCGTGTTGCCAAAAAATAAAGTGCCTTAAGCCCTCTCTGCCATCTCCCCTGTTGATGTTCCCCAGCCTTGGCACATCTTAGTGTTCTTTCAAGCAGCAGTAGCTTTAATTTATTTAATGACAAAAGCTAATCATGTTAGAGGGCAGATATGTCACTTTACCAGCTTTGTAAGATTTTTGTGGTGAAATCTCTTAGAGAAAACCATTCTAAAAATGTGATTTCAAGTGGTTTATTTTCTTCTCACATCCAAGGACATGACTGTCTATGTTCTCTGGCAGAAGTCTGTGAGAGAGGGTTACTTTACCCATTTAAATATATGTGTATTTAATGAGCAGCTCTGATTTGGGAGCAGAGTTTGTGTAAGGAGTTGTTGAGAGAGTAACAG